CAGCGTGTGTCGAACGGGACCAAAGCAAAAGGGGGTGAGGGAAATTCCTCAGGCAAGGCCAAGGTCAATTGAGCCATCATAACACTAAGTTTTGAAGGTGTCGATAATTTTAGAAGTGGCAGATAATCTTCTTTTCGCTTGTGGAGTGAAAGTTGATTAGTAGATCCGTAGTTTTGAAGCAAAGATGGGGAAAAGGGACCCCCATCGAATGAATGATCCAACCATCTATCTGTCAACCAGATTGTCTGAAACAGTCTTTTTTGCTTGGCCGGCAGGGCTCTGGCACCAGCGCCTAGGATCGACACTTCATGATACTGGTATCGTATCCATGGCCATGATATTATTGCTTTCTCGTGAGGTATATCGAGTAGTTTGATTCAAGTCTCAACCGCGTCTTCGTGTCGGATAGTCAAGTCTCAGGCGGACGTTGGCAACTAGCCTCGCGCGTCCAGGATCTGACTGGAATCATATTATTTTTTGTTGATCTTTTGTTGATGTGAAGCAAGCGCATAGATAGCCCCTAGCAGAGAGATCCGACTCGCCTTCCGCGACGCGTCCTTTTGCCTTCCATGCATCTCCTTCACAGACGTTTACCTTCTTCTGCTTGCGCGCGATCAGTCATTCAGACCTCTGATCGGTTACCGTGAAATCGGTAGTCACTATCCACATTGGGCAATGGGGGGGGGCGTGTCAACCAGCCACAGACCGTCTGACGGTGGGGTGTTCCTGGACCGGAGAGAGGATTTTCGGGATATTGCACGGAACTCATCTTGATCCGGTCCGGCTGCAGAAGCATCCACTACTTAGTCAATGCCTTAGGCAGTAAGGCAGTAAGGCAGTCAGACAAGTCACATTTGTGGTATCTTGGGGAGAGGCATAGAGACGGCAGACTGGGATATGTGGTCTCTGTTATCTCGACGGATGGGAAAACTAGCACTGCTTCAGAGGATAGATAAGTCTCTGTGAATTCCAATGGCAAGCGACCAGAAGTGCAGGGTAAGGCGATTGAGGCGGTCTAGTATGAGTGCCTTATGCCCATATATCCCCGCAGGGAACGACATTCTGCAAACCCAGGCTCTTGATCAAGAGAATGCCGATTGTGTCTTGTGCTGTCCTATAAGGTATAGCTAATTGAAGAACGCTCTGCTTTTTGATTACGAAGGGTTAAGGCATGACATGACGCACCGACTGATGGGATGACCGGATGCGTGTTCCGTCAGTAATGCCCGGTAGCCTTAAAAGCCTTCTCTCTGCCTGAGGCATACGCGGGGAGATTGGGCGGAATCCAGAAATTTACCCCTCCGCAAGAGAGAACAGCCCTTCCGCACTGTGCGATTCGGACAGCCTCACCTCACCTTAACACGGGACTTGCTGTGGTAGCATTTCCTTGTCTGACCGATTGGTTAAGATGTAAGTTCTGTGCACTTATCATACCCCTGTCATTCACTCCAGTCGCCCCTGATAAGACAGAGGGTGTGTGTGACTCACATGCACGTCTCCAAATGGATATCCACTGATCACGCTGCTTCCTGGCAAGAACATCGACTTAATACCCTCAAATCAATTCCTTGCAAAGAGGACCAACACAATGGCCACCATCTATATTGACGAGGATGTCGGCCGGGATGAGTCGACCGCGACCGGCACCGAATCCGCCCCTTACAAGACTCTTGTCCACGCTTTCACGCAGCACCCTCCCTCCGAAGGAAACCAATACCTGACCCGCAAGTCCCAGACCGAGCCCGCTGAGGAGGGTGCCGACAAGCTCGAGTGGAAGCCCGCCACCAAGTCGGCCGTCAAGAAGGCCACCAACCTTTACGAGCAGCGCAAGAGAAAGGCCGCCAAGGAACAAGAGCTGGCAATCCGCGAGAAGCAAGAGGCGGAGAAGCGCCAGGTCATCCTGGAGGAAGCCAAGAAGGTCGTCATCAAGGAAGATACCTCCCTTCCCAAGCCCGTCAAGATTCGCCTCGATGAAACCGACCCCGCCGTCGTCAAGCTGGGATCTCCCGAGTCCGAGGCCCCTGGTACTCGTGTGCGCGTTGTTGGACGTGTCCACCGCTTGCGCGCCCAGAAGGACGTTATCTTCCTTACCCTCACCGATGGTTCCGGCTACCTTCAGTGCGTTCTGACCGGTCAGCTCGTCAAGACGTACGACGCCATGACTCTCACTCTCGAAACCTCCATCGCCATCCACGGTGAGATGCGTGCTGTGCCCCCGAAGCAACACGCTCCCGACAACCGCGAGCTCCACGCGGACTTCTTCACCATCATCGGCCGTGCTGCTGGTGACAAGGACGCCATCTCCAACCGTGTCGCCCCTGACGCCGATCCCCAGACTCTCTACGACAACCGTCATCTGGTCCTCCGCGGTGAGACCATTTCCTCGGTGATGAAGGTGCGCGCTGCCACCCTGCGGGCTTTCCGCCAGACCTACGAAGAGAAGCGCATGCTGGAGGTCACTCCCCCCGCCATGGTGCAGACCCAGGTGGAGGGTGGAAGCACTCTGTTCAAGTTCGACTACTACGGGGAGAACGCCTACCTGACCCAGTCGTCTCAACTCTACCTGGAGACCTGTCTCCCCTCCCTCGGCGATGTCTTCTGTGTCTGCCCCTCTTTCCGCGCCGAGAAGTCCCTCACTCGTCGTCACTTGTCCGAGTACACCCACATTGAGGCGGAGCTGGACTTCATCACCTTCACCGACCTCCTGGATCATCTGGAGCACATGATCTGCCGTGTCATCGAGATCTTGCTGGCCGATCCTGCCACCAAGGCACTCATCGAGAAGCTCAACCCCGACTTCAAGCCTCCCAGCCGTCCCTTCAAGCGCATGCGCTACTCCGATGCCATTGAATGGCTCCGCGAGCACGACATCCCCAACGAGGAGGGCAAGCCCCACGAGTTCGGCGATGATATCGCCGAGGCCGCCGAGCGCAAGATGACCGACATCATCAACCAGCCCATCTTCCTGACCCACTTCCCCGCCGAGATCAAGGCCTTCTACATGAAGAAGGACGAGCAGGACCGCCGAGTCACCGAGAGTGTCGATGTCCTGATGCCCGGCGTCGGTGAGATCGTTGGTGGTAGTATGAGAATGGACGACTATGACGAGCTGATGGCCGCCTACGCGCACGAGGGCATGGACCCCTCTCCCTACTACTGGTACACTGACCAGCGCAAGTATGTCAACGCCTTTCCACCCCACCCACCCTCTCACCACTTTGGACTAACAATCCCCAGGTACGGAACCTCCCCCCACGGTGGCTACGGTTTCGGTCTCGAGCGTTTCTTGGCCTGGTTGTGTGCCCGCTACACCGTCAGGGACTGCTCCTTGTATCCCCGCTTCACCGGCCGCTGCACGCCTTGAGATGTTGTGTGATGTGCTAAAATAGAAAGCCTCCATAGAATATCACGCGTTAATGTGGAATTGTCCGTGACCACGACAAAACATCGCTAAAAATCGCTTGTTCGAATCCAGCTAGGAGCAACCAAACGTAGATTCTCTGGTAGAATCCCATCATCCGACGCGGCGGATCAAATATGTAGTGTTTGGAGGTTCATCCCCTTCTCGTAGGGCAGATCGTTCGTTGTCAGATGCTGCAGGTTGTGCGTGCAAGAGTCTTCTGGGAAGAGGCGGGCTAGCCAATTGGTCCCCCGTCTTCGAGTCGCCGCGTTCTCAGCTTATTCCAGCCCTTTCGACTCCGTTTCATCAGGGTAACTTTAGCTCATTTTCCAGTATACGTGCGATGCTGGTCCATCACACCTGATGGCGGTGATAATCAAGGAGACCAAATTTAGCCCAGTATTAATGAGAGGGGTGGAAAAGGCACGAAGCCGACGAAAATTCCCACGACAAGGCCAGCACTCGAGAAGAACATCCAAACAACAGACTGCTGCTTGCTGCTGCTGCTGCTGCTGTTGCAGTACCGGTACAGTGGCAAAGACAGCAACCAAACCCATGGATTTGCGTCAAGGGTCCGATCGATCAATCGTCACCCACACTTTCTCGAGCCATGGGTCCTCGGTGTAGATACCTATACGAGCGGCTTGCAACATCCGCGCGGAAGGTTGGCTTGTGATACGAGAGGTTTCTAGCCTGAAGATACGAGGGATTGTAAGAGGGGAAGACTTCGGAATTAAAAACTCAACTGGGTGGAGGGTTGGAAGAGGGAGTCGTTGATTAGGACGGGGCGGGCTATGTCCTCGCGCGATGCCTGGGAAACTCTTTTGGCGATAGCGAGTACCCTAGGAGGCAGAGATGGATTAGGTTCGACTTTTGCTTCAAGTCTACCTGCTGTTTAGGGGGTGACATAGGAGGTGACATTCCATGTTCTACCGCTACACTTTGGCATGGGGAACCGGTCGAAAATGGATCATGGGGCTGGCGCCTACGGCCGATGTTGTTGGAAAGACGGTGTTCTGGTTGACGAAAAACTGCTATGTTCTGAACCCCATCAAGCTGAGCGTAAGGCTGATCATATCGACCTCGTGTGTGGCATCAGAAGATGACGCAATATGATGGATAATACTCTGTCTGTTGTCGAGTCGAGTGTGAACCTGGTTTAGCTGGCAGACTCTGCACAGGTGGTCGGTGTGCATCTGAACGGGCATCATGAGCGACTCAGCTGATCTGCAGAATAAAGTCAAGCCACAACGTCCTCATGGATATTGCCTAGGGCACATCCTCGGGAAATGAGATAGTGCGCTTGTACTGTAAGCCGCAACTTCATCTGGAATACTTTCCGAGGAGCAGACAGGTGATTCTCTCTTCACAGTGGTCGACTAAGCCAGCTTCTAAGTGACAAAGTATTTCACCCAACCATTCTCCTTCCCATTAGTGCGTCCTACAGTCAACCAGGTATCGCTGGAGAGAAACTGTCTCATGACTCATAGAGTTTATCACGAATCTGCGAACACGAATTTGACTTCACGGGAGGCATGACTCGGATGTCACTCTAATTGTTCTCTTCTATAGGGCTTTCGTCATGTTCATCGTCGGGGATATCATTGCTGGCAGGATCATTGTTCAGCAGAGCGTAGATGTCGGTATCAGAGGGATTGGCACGAATGATGGAGATCAAGTGAGCAACACGCGCCGGATCTCCACTGCGGACAATCCTCATAATCCGTTCAAGAAGACCTCGAAAGTAATCGAGCTCGGCTGCGAGTTCGTCAGGAGCCTGTGAGGCGCTTGATTCAAGATCTGAGGTATCGCTAGTGTCGTCCGGGTGGTCGTTGTGGAGGCTATAGAACATCACAGATGGTTAGGCAGGAACGAATGATGGGCCAGGGCAGTAAATTCCAGGGCCGGAAGGTCTACCTTTCATCCCCATTTAGGGCAAAGCTGCTCTCTTCCGCAGTCATCTTGTTATATCGTCACAAGGCAGAAGTTTGCTGGTCTTGGCTGCCTCAAGGTCCCGCGGGGTAGTGGTTGAGGGCTGCACAAGACGGGAGCGACACGGGGTTCGGGTTCTGGTGACGATCCGACTGAGTACGCCGGGAGATTTTGCAATGGAAAGGTATGGAAAGTGATGAGGGTGGGCGTAAAACGAAATAGTAGTCAAGAATGGTTGATTCGTACTGAGACAGAGCACTACCCACAAGCTGATATCTGGACGGCCAGAGGGGAAAGTTGCAGTGATGGGGAAGTAAGAGTGCAATTAGTAGTGTCTAATCCCTCCTAGACCGAGTGGCAGTCGGCTGAGGCTGACCCCCTGGGCAGTCAATGCGGTATCCGAAGAGTCACACACTCAACCGACACTTCCGTGCATCAGCCATTTGCATGGTGGGAGAATGCTTTCATCTTCCAGGTTGGAGCCAGACAGAGAGAGAGCTGAGGGAGGAAAAGATATCCATGCCTCTCAGGCCAAACAAACTGGGTGACTGGGAGACAGGGTGGACTGATAGGCTCACTGGCGCCTACAGGAGAGGTACACCGTCACAAATCGAGCCTGAGCTACAGCCCAGCAGTAGTGAACGAGTGCCACAATTCACCCTAAATCACACCGGAACCCTCATTGGCAAGTGCCACTGGGTATCTGGGTGTATCTGGGTATCGCTAGTACTCCACCCAATATACGGCCACTCAACCATCAGGTCACGGACGCTGGGGATGCTCTGTAATGGCACGTTCCGGCATGCTAAAACATGCCCGGTGGGTTTTCATAGCATCACATCAACACAAACACAGGAATCGGGATTAGTCAGGGTCATTGGGTGTCAATCGCAGGAGCCGTCAAATGGATGGAGGTGGAAATTGGGATGGGTTTGGGGGTCGTTATAGAATGTTTGTATCGCCGGGAAAAGACTGCCAGCTCTGCTCGTCTTCTTGACCAGAAACCCGGGAAAAGTCCCCAGCCAATCCCTGGGCCCGTGGCGGTCTCCGCCGCCCATCACGACGAACAGAATATGGACGAACCTGCAATCTTCTAGGCTCTGGAAATATCATCCATTCTCTCAGATAGGCTCAATTGATTCCCCGCTGCTCAGAGCTGGTTTATTCTTCTGTATCGCAATTCGATGCTTCTGTAGCTGCCGCGGTAGCTGCCCACTAGTCTTCTCTCCACCGGCCGTCTGCTGCAGATTGTCTCCCCTGGCTTTGCCACAGCCGCGGATGCCCTCATAAGAAGCTCATCTCATGTTGCTGCCAAAACTGCAGACTCCATACGTTGTGAACACAGGTGCTGAAATCGTCTTTGTGCCTAATCATTTAGCTCACCCAGGGGATCGATCGACAGTTTGGTACCTGTCCCACTACCCATTGGCAGTTAATGTGCTCCATCTGCCACGTTCATTCGACCTCATCTCGCAACAAGCAATACGCGTTACTCGGCCTTCAGCTGTCAACTTTTTCGGTCCAACTCCTTGTTGATAGCAGTACGTTGGATTCTGTCGCCACCAAGCAAAAATCCCAGATGATTGTGACTCGCCCGTAGTCATTTGGGACGGACGTTCTTTGACTTGTGTTCCCCGTATGAAGCCATATTATCTCATCCCGATTTCCATCGAAACTGTGCCTTTTCAATCTTGCGACTGCGTCAGAGACATAGATAGATTGTGGACATATCTCGAAAGGCGCCCGTGCTCCGGTCAGAACACGATGGAGGGCGGGCACTTCAGATGCAAGGCGATTGCAGAGGTATAGTCCCACCATCGTGTCTTTTATTCCGTTTAAACCTCTTTTCCCGCAAAGAGTTAGGGCCAACATGGGTTACAGGCACCTGTCTGTCTGATGCACTTCCCAACCCAGAGCATCCCCTTGCGTCCTCTTCTAAAGATGCACCAACACCTCAAGAGCTGGTTCAAGAAAGCGCAAGATTACACACGGTCCAACTCGGCACATACAAGGTCAAGGCAGAGATCCCCGAAATCTAGGGAAGGATAGGACAGTGAGGGATGTGTGCGGTAGTGGCAAGGAACAGAACTATACCCATGAGACAGGACCATCAACTTGGTAAGAGCTGGACGGCTTATGGACATTGATGCCCTCACTAGGATATGAATGACCATGGTTTTGCCCACAAATGGAATGACCATGAAGATGGGCAGGCCAAAATTCTTTCGATTTGCTCTTCAATCTGTGAGAACGCAGGGTCGGCTTGCAGAACTGAAGGGTACGAATACCAGACGCCCGCAGCTCTCTGAACGTATAGGGACAGGCACATGCCAGCGAGTTTCGAGGCACCAACACGGGCCGGCATTGATATGCATATCGCACACAATTCGAATCGGAGGACACGACCTATGAGAGGTCCGCATCTCATGTGTCCTGAGATGTCCTTCTTGCTGGTTTATCTCGCTCATGTGGCACTTGGTTTTGTTCAACGGGAGTTGCGGCAGCAATCGATGCACGTCTTAGTCTGCCTTAGCGCGGATCTCGGTTCGAAGCTGCGAGGTGGCTGGTCCGACACGGTTGCTATCCATTCGAGCATAAGGGCGGTTCTATCATGCTTGTTGAAGTGATCGGAACGACAGAGAGGCGCCTGCGCTTGTGAGAGTGTCGAATTTTCTCGTGGGTATCGCTTTACGGTCACAGGGATTCGGATCGGCGGGGTTTAGCAGCTGTCAACATCTGGACTGTCCTATCTCGGCCACGTTCGATCCTATGATTTCACAGGTGGCGAATTTGTCGATCTTGTAAGAAAGAGTGTTTGGGGAGGATCGCTCAAAAGGCCAGGGGATACGTTCCCACTGCATCGCGCGACAAGGCACATGCACTTGGTCTCTAAGCCGCACTGACAAGCGTCGGTGGACCCATTGGCTCGCTCGGATTTTAGTCGATCCTTCTTCGATTGGCTTATGAGGGTCGCGAAATATCGGCTATTTCAGCACTCATTCTAGCCTTGATGGCTAGCAATGCAGCCAAACAACAGTTAGGGCCTTTTGAAACACCCCGATGAGCTCAAAGCGATGGTACGCCTTGACGCCTTAATGGACAAATGTAAGTCATATCCCGAATCCTTCCGCGCGTAGGTCTATGGATCGTTGTCGAGGAGGTCTCAAACTGAAACTCAAACAACGGTCAGAGCAAGTCCCCATTGCTTTAAAGACCCCCTTTGTTCGAATTAGCACTGGGGGGAGAGGGGGAGTAAACCTCGTGAAACCGGCAAGTACAGCCCGAAGGCGGGTATGGAAGATATTTCCGGGGCATGAGATCTCTTTCTCGGCTCCGATGCAGTCAAAAGGAGCCGGCTTTGGGGGTGGGAACACAACGAACGTTCGGCAGACGGCCTTTCGAGGAAGACCAGGTTGAGGATGTGAGAATGAGAAGCAGAGTCTGGCGGAGAGCCGCTCCTGTTTTTGTGCTGGATAATGATTCCTGAGCCGCTTATTGGGCTCCGCTGTTCGCATGCACGGCACTTTCGACTAGGTCTTTTCGCGTACCAGTCTTTGCGGTTGGCTTCTGGATTTACGACGCTCACTCAGGGGCAGTTCTTACCTGTCATCTGTCTGGGGAGGTTATGTTACTTTTGATATACGCCAAGGCCATAGGCTCGCAACAACCCAGCTTTCGCTTTTGCGGCGAGGTACGTGATTCCATTGCTTGTATGGAGTCAAGTCGAGCTCAGGGGGGTTCTACACACGGCAAATCTCTTTGGACAACCTCTTTTGTCAAGGTGAGTATTACCTTCCATTGGTATTGCGAATTGATTCGACGCGGTCAGCGATCGAGACGCATCAACATCAAAGTTTTAACCACCTTCTCTTCCGCCTAGGCCTCTTGAATACTTTCCCTATTAGTTTCTTAGCTGCTGTGATGGAAATAACTCCCTCGTCCTCGTCCCCCTGTCATGGCCAGACTGTTCATTCCTTGAAATACGATCTGGCCCGGTTACGCCCGTGAAGCATAGTCAATGCTGCCCTGGAATAGACTACAGATGGCTCGTTCTTCCTTTTACTCCTTCGGAATTATTATTCGCGGAACAATGATCCGGTCGGTTCGCTAGGAGCACAGGATGCTTGTCCGTCCGTGGCCACGATCCCTAGACTGTGTAAAGCTAGCATAGTGGATATCAGGCGCTTGACGATCTCAATTGCATGTCACTCTGCTTATTTTTACCACTCCATCATCTCGTGCTAGAGGTAAGTCTGTCTGGCTTGCATCTGCGTTCCTGACGCGGCTTCATCTCGTCGAACGGCCGCTATCAGGCGAACCTATAAGGATGCGTTTGTTTCCGAACTCGGTTAGACATACCCTAACCAAGTATTTTGATCCATTTTCTGCTGCCGTACAGTGCATAGGAGAGGGTACTGCTCATATCGCTTTGATTGATTAACTTGCAAGAAGAAGACTATAAAATCCTCTTGTATTCTCGTTCTCAACCAGAAATGTTTATGCCGGCCTCGGTGTCCAAGTGGCAGACCTGACAGGCCGTACTACAGGAAGCTTGGGCAATTGATGGCGTTCTTTTCCATCTTACTTCATCACAGGTTACTGCCGCTTCTCAAGGTCAATCCCTTCGCCGGGCCGCTCAAATATAAGACGCATACGGGTCTCTCGACAATGACACCCCAATATCTTCGATATCCTCACTGCGCGGGAAAGGGCTGATCACATTGTCAATAACAGCATCTACCTAGAGGATATGGTATACGTATACATTGTTTCTCTTAACTACGAAGGCTTGATAGGGCTGACGGAATCCGTTCTAGACTAGAATCCTTCCTTTGTCTGTAACCTCTAACGAGTCCACTGCTGAGACCACCTTTGATAGACATGGAAAGAGCACAATATCAACTTACTACATAGCTTAGAAATACATCCAATCTACCTCCCAGCCAAAAACCCCATCTCGCAACCTTGTTTACTTCCAATTGAAACCCACATACCACAGCCAACCCCATCGAATACCAACCAACCGACCAGCCCATCGCGCCCCTCGAGCCCACATTCTTCAACCTCCTCACCTGCTCCCTCTGGACCGCACAACCCAGAGCGACCTGAGCGAGCCCAAGGATGAGCCGAGCCAAGAATCCACCTTCGCAAGAACATGTCAACCCGCGACGACCCAGAAGTTGGACCGCATAACGCCGTCCGAAATCCAAACAAACCCAGCTAGCTCTACCACCCACGACCCCCTTACTTCCCGATCCCCACGCATCACGTCGGCATGTAAGTATGTATGGCGCGCAGGGGAGGGTTCGCTTTTAAAGCACCCTCCGTCCCTCCCTCCCCGTCACTAGGGACTGTAATATCCTGTAGATACATCCAACAAAAAACCCCGTGCCACCCTAGCCCACCCACAGTCTGACAGCCTCAGACGGTCCACTCCTTCTATAACAATCCGTCACTCATTTACACCCGCGCATACACACAACCAACAAACCAAACCCAAATTCAAACCCCGATCCAAAACAACAGCAATCAAAAATGCAACTCACGACCCTCCTCCTCGCAACCGCCACCCTCCTCGCCTCCACCGTCTCCGCCCAGAGCAAACCCCACGGCATCGACATCGGCAACGAGGCCTGCGTGGGCTCCTGTGTCCGCAACCCCAAGCTGTTGACTTGTCCCAAGACCAAGGTAAATCCCCGGCTCCCCCCCCCCCCCCCCCCCCGGCCGCAAACCCTTGCCTCATACCCCAGTACCGTACCTTGAGATCATGCTGCATGATGCTGCAACGCGTGCCATACCCAATCCCCTCCCCTCGCCTTGATTTCGCCCGCCCTTACCCGGCTGGGTTGGTCTGGCACCTGCTAATACTACGGCAAAAAAAAAAACAGTATCAACCCGACCAAGGATGCTACGTCTGTTGCTGGGGGGACGATGACGCCGACGCGTGGGCGGATCACATCCACGATGACTTTGGGGATTTCTGAATGAAACCCAAAGGGGTTGAGGTTGGGGTTGGATGTACTTTGTCTGGAAGAGTTGGATTGGGGTGGTTTTCATGTGATGTGATGTGATGTGATGGGAGCCACTTGGGTTGGAGTGGTGTCTGGCTTTGCTGGGTATACGGTGACGAAGCGAGGGCGAGGGCGAGGTTGGGGTGCGACTTGTATGATGTACTGTACTGTACTAACTAGCTTGGTACTCGCGAGTCAGAGTTTTATACTGTGAGGTTTGTGATATCCTCAAGAAGGCTTATATGCTGCCGTAGATTGGTGTAATAGATGTGGGGTCGGTGGTGTAGGTTATGTTTCTCCTGGCTGATGTTCTCGTGCGTAAGGTGGATGATGGGCTGCTGGGGGTTAGACTGAGGGGGTATTGATTGCTCCTCTGGCACGGGATAGTGGGGTTTGCACTTGACTTGCTGGTTTGGGTCAGTACTTAGGGTGTAGTGGACTCCGTAATACTTGAAGCAATGAGGTGTCATGTGTCCAAGGTTCTGAAGTGCCGAGTTAAAGGTGGGTGAGGGCTTCAAATCATTGGGGTGGTTGTTTTGAAAGCGTGTGCCTTTGGATGCTTGCCATCTGGCTGTGGCACTGAACACATACTCAAAATCGGCTATCTTCTCACATGGTAACGTATAGTATGGTCCTGTCTTGGCTGGTGCCACCAGTCCGACTTGCCTACAAGGCTGATGAAGAATGGTGGGTCAAGTCACGAAAATCTGGGGTAAGTCGGCTGCACGTCGATTGACAGCAAGCTCCGTACAGTCTAATGTATACGTTTCCACTTTCTACCTGACTCGGAGGCTCTCACTGGTTCACATGCACAGTAAAAGTTGTGGTTGAAGCAGAATCACTTCGTGAGGTCTAGCTAAAATGCTCGTCGCTATCCGCCTTTTTACAAGCCCAACACCTGTCTGCTTATTAAAGTCTATCCCATAATATGCTGCTGTTTCCCATGTTCAAGAAAGAAAAAAAAAAGCAAAGGTTGTTTCCACGCCTATCGCCCATGATCTCGTTTCTCGCATGCTTTCTATCATGAATCCTGTCCAATGATCGCAACTGATGATAAAAAGAAAAAAAAAAAAAAAAAGGATAGGATAATGAAACCACTGCTGCAGTTGACACGCGACCCAGGTGTGTATGGTTGAGGAATTGAGCATACTCAAAACACACAACTATGCCAAGTACGCGAAACAGCTACCTAGTGCTCAGACAGAACGCATAGGCACATCGGAGCTCACTGCACCCAAGGTTGTGGTCAAGGTAGATGTCTTGTTGAGAGGCTTCTCGTTCCACAGTGCACTGCTGGCAGGAAAGATGGACCCATCATTGGACATGTCAACGGGGGAGACGTCCTCAGCCTGCACATGCACGTGAGGAACTACCAGCTCAACCCCTTTGGCCGCACTCGAACTGCAAAAGTGCGGGTTGTGGCGCGGCGGCAACGGACGGT